TTACAAAACCCAATGCATGCATAGCCTTTAATAACAACACAGTATCTTTTTCCAAAATTGATATTTTGCAGTATAGACTAAAATGTTGTTTGGACAGTTAGACAAGAACTACTTTTGTCTGATGCTGCAGGACAACAGGTAGGTCAGCAAATAGTAATCCAAAAATGTATGCTTCTCTGTTACTACAAATACCTTATGTTTCTTCATGAACTGCATGTTACTGACAACCCTCCAAAAGAACAGGTATTACTGTATGAAAAATAGCATCTCATAAACACTCCTCACAAGAAAACTTGTGTACCAGGTAGATTTCAGACAAGAACAGCAACACATTCCTTTGTATAGTTGTGAGGAAGAGAAATCCTTGACTTCCGTGTCACTGTCGGATCTATTTGCACTTTCATACAATTATCCCTGTTTTTATTTACTTTATAGTAGCTAGAAAACCCAACTGTATTATGGAAGTCTCCAGAATGCCATATTGACTTATAGTCTCAATACTCTTCTCTGTGTAGATTCTGAGAGTCCTGTTTCCAAAACACTTTGGAGAAAACCTTTGCCATGAAGAAGTTGTACTCCAGCTAACTGGAAAGCTACACTGTCACGATTCAACTAACAGTCTGAACACCTACATACACTTATTTTAATGGTACCCTATCAGTTCATGTTAACACAGTTGTCATTTACAAGACTAGACCAGAATACTTTGCCAAGTCACCATCCAACCCCATGCCAAAAGCAGTGATTTCAAGACAGCTAGACTTGGTGACAGACTGAAAACTGCATGCACTGAAGTGTTGAAAAGGAGATAAGTTGGTATCAAAACACTGATATGGTTCTTTTCTTGGCCAAAGGAACAGCTGTTCCATTATCAATTGAAGTGAAGTTTTCAACATTCGCAAGGAACAAATGGCAGAAAGATATTCAGGAGCACAGAGGGTTTGCAATTGAACATTTTACTTTTTAGAAAGTCTGCAACAAAAACAGCTCCTCTGCTCTTTATAGCATCAGTTTATGAGAGGCAGCCAAAAGACATGCTATAGAATCATAAAGAAAACGAACCAGTTTGTGTGCAACAACAACCCAAGGTTTGTTTAAAACCTGGATTGTTGCAAATGCTAGTGCAGACTGCATGAACACTCCTGTTGTACCTAGCTAAACAATCGCAGAATGTGCCAGTCCTGGGTTGCTGCAATTGTTCAGCTTTGAGCTACTGGCTGCTCTCTCTCCTAACCAGCCAGAGAAGTAACCCTAAAACAAACCCTGGATTCTAATGAGGTCCAGGCTGGGCCATGGAATTGACAGGGGCTACACTGAAAAGTGTTGTGCGCTTCGTTAATTTGTTTCCTCTCCACCCCTAGTCCACTCCACAATTTAGGGTCAGGTTTAGTGACCTTCTCAAGGACAAGGTTTGCTTCATCAACACCCTTTAACTGCCCTGCCTTTCTGCCATGGCTTGACATCGCTGCTGGAAGGGTACCGCATACTTTTGTGTGTTACAGGCTCTGGGATAAGTCCTTTGGATACCTCTTTGGCCATATCATCGTAGGTGAGCTTAGGCTCAAATCCTAAACCCACTTACTTGGGAGCACCTAGTTCTAAGCGAAAATACACAGGAATGTGTTAACAACTGAGGAAACTGCTAACTCCATTATCAACATGAGGCTATTTTTTCTTCTTCTTGCTCACAGCTCATCATACCCTCCATCTTACAATGCGTGAGCCTAAAAAGGGGAGCTTTGTTTTCAGACATTACTTTTTCAGGGAAAGCAGCCAGACAACTGCATGGCTACATAAAAATGGTTTAAATAAATAAATAAAAGCTCATTCAGCAAGGTGTTCTGCCCCTTTGCAGTACATACAGCAACTCGAGTATCAAGCACCACAAAAGTTCAGTGCATCTGCAATCATTTCTTACTGGATTATAAAGGACAGACTATTCAAATTTGTTATTTCTAATAGTAGAACAGATGGACCGGCCAGCTTTTACATTATATTATTAATTATATCCCAAAAGGGATAAGCTTACAAGAGTGGAGCAAGTTTTCTACCCTTGTTAGGTCTAATCTTTGTCATAATCTTCCTTGCAATTCTTGGCCAAAAAAGGAAATACTGTGAACGATGAATTCGATCTTCTCCACACGCCCCCACCCCCAAAGTGTAAGTAAAAGGAAACAAACAAAACCTCAAACTGCACTCAGGATCCCCCCCCCCCCCGTGATAGAGTAATTGCAGCTTGCCAGCCTTTCCGTCCCAGCACACCTTTGCTGGCTTCTCAATGAAAACCTTTCTAAACACCTTCAAATTTGCTCTTGCTGGCCTGCTGTTCTTAAAACCTGAGACTTAAAGCTATATGAGAGTACAAACTTTTTCCATGCCTATCTAATTGCAATTACTCATGCAATCAGAGCTATGATTCCTCAATCAGCCTAAGCAAACACTGTGGCCAGACCGAGTGCTCAGATGGGTTGGTTCTGCGTGATCAAACAAGAAAATCTTAAACAATTCACAATGACTTGTTTAAATCGGCAGTGAGTGCCAGGTGCAGTCAACCTAATTGCCCACCCAGGCATGGCTTGTTGTGTTGGCCAAACCCTGGTGGACAGGTTTGTTTGAAGAAAACCACCCTAAAATAACCCATCAACAGGCTGAAGTAATATTTTCACCCTTCAGCCTGTCCAGCAATGATGCTTTGGAGGAAGAAGAGGGAAGGATACTGGGGAAGGGAGTCTGCCCCCTGCTGGTCCCCCCCTCCCCCTGTCAGGACACCTCCTTCCCCCTGACTTGCAAGTTTGTTTTTTCAGTCTCGGAGAAGCAGCCAGTATAGTCCTCTTCATGCCAGCTGCAAGGGGGATGGATCGATGGTCAGATCTCTGCTTCACCCTTCCAAGGAAGGAGGCTGATCTCCGCCCTTGGAAGGTGTTTTCTGAGCCATGCTCTGGTCCTTGGAAAACTTGACCACGGACGGTAGGATTGTTCTCTCAGTCTTGGATCAGAGCCTCTGAAGGCAAGGACATACGACTGTATTTGCTCACAACCATTCTCCGTTACCCTTGGTTTTTCCAGTCTCTGTTACAGATGCTTTCCCCTTCCTTCTCCTCCCATTGACTCATCATTCTGCATCCCAGTCAGAATTTAAGTTGGAAGCTCCTTAGGGACAGATGCCCATTTTTCTGTTGTTGCTAATGATGCCTTTTACAAATGCACCGTTGGGGTCATATAAATAACAAAGGAACTAGAAGCAAAATTTACAGTTACTTTCCAAGGTGAATTTATCTCAACATAAACATTGTGCACACTGCATCTCTGTACATGACAATTCCCAAGTATTCCTCAGCCACTCAAAAGCCCCTTTAGCAGCAAACCCAATTGTGCTAAGGAACTGAGAAAAGAGACAGATGAAGTCAGTATCTGGGATATAGACATGTTCTGCCTCTCTGAAGAAGAGTTGCAAAAATCCAAGAAATGCAGGGAAAAGCCTGAGTGTAGGATGAATAAAATGGCCTGCATTATATCTAACCTTTGTCTTGTTCTCCCTTCAACTGAATACTGCACTTAACCAGCTAAACAAATATATGCAGTCCCAGGCAGTAAAACATGAGGGGTTTATGGAGTTATTGCTGTGTGCCCACATGGGTGAAGACTCTGGAGAAGGTCTATGAGAAAAAGCCAGTCCACAGGGTGAATGGTGCTTGACTAATATAACTGTGACTAAGTTCTTGACTAATGTAACTGTGGAATGCAGTCAAAACAAGGGACCGAACTACATGTTGTACTGACATGCTACTGAACTCTCACACTGGTGTTACTGGATAAACACAGGGTTGGAAATTTCTTATATTCCACCCTTAAGCAAGTATACTAGAAAACTGAAGCTTGAAATTACAAGGAGGATGTGCTTCTGTTGGGTAACAGAGGTCCTTACTCCAGGGTTTCTGTGTATGTTCAAATAAATGCACATTCTGTTCTGGTTTAAAACTAATCCATACACCCCAAAATGAAGTACTTGCAGAGCTGCAAGAATAGACCTGCGTTCAGAGCAACCCATTCCCAGGCTTTTCAGTCAGGAAAGAATCCCAGGGTTGGATCCATCACAGAGATGGATCAGAAAGTCTCCTCCACGGGCAGGCCGTTTGCCTGCACTGGTAGCCTTGTGCCCAGTCCAGAAACTGCGACTCGTACGAAGGCTGGCAACCAGACGTTCCTGCACTGGCTGCCCATCCATTTCTGGATGCAGCACAAGGTGTTGGTAATTACCTTTAAAGCCCTTCATGGCTCAGGTCCAAAATACCTTCAGGAGCACCTTTGCCCATATATTTCACCTCATCCACTAAGGTCTTTGGGGATAACCTTCTGAAGCTTCCTTCTGTAACATTAATGCCAACTATTCAGAGGATTTAATTGGTGGTTGCCCCTAAACTATGGAAAGGCCTACCAGGAGATATCCCAGATCACTACCTTCAAGAGGGAATTAAAGACATACCTCTTCTGACAGGCCTTCCCAGACTAGTTTATGCTTTGTTTTACCCTAAATTCTAATTGTTGTTGGTTTAATTCCTTGTAAACTGCCCAGAGCCTATGGGAAAGGGGCAGTATTTAAAAATCAAAATGAATAAATAAATGGTCCAATGATGCTTGAAGTAGGAACATACCAAGCAGGCTTTTCTATGATACTACTGGGCTCACAAAGCCTTGCAAGGAATCCAAAGGGGCTTATAAGGCATTCCTCCTCTCCATCTTATCCTTACAATGACCTGTGAAATAAGTCAGGCTGAGAAGCGGTAACTGGACCAAAGCCACCCAATGGGACTCATGGCCAAGTGGGGACCAGAACCCAGATTTCCTGGGTCTTAGTCCAACCACCACTCTCACCACCACACCGCACTGGCTCCCCTAGGGACAGCGCCAGGTGGACCTTCTGACTGAAAACCCAAAAGGCTTCATTTGTCATGATGTGGAGCCGTGACAACAACGAAAAAATTGAAAAGTGCCATATTTACCTGTCCATAATCCGTCCTGAACACCACAACTCCCTCTGCACAGGAAAGTACAGTACTTGGATAGTGTTGCCCATTTTCTCGCAACCAAACCCGTGTCCCCTGCAATGAAAAGACAGGCACACACAGTATTAGTCAGTATACGCAAATGCATGGTAATCATGATTACCCTTCTTTCTCTTATTCCTGCATACAGCAGACATAATTCAGATTGCACTGGGAGACTAAAGGAACTGATAAAGAGATCGCCTCCAGGCTGAATACAGGGCTGCTTCTGCTCAAGTTACAACCCTAACAAGACCCCTAGAAGGGTTTTTTCTTCTGAAAAAGGCTCTGAACAACCGCAAGCACAGCTGAATGCAATTCACAGAGTCATGGAGCCAGCAAGTTTGTTCTGCAGAATTACAAGTGACATTCAAATTTATGACACAATGCATGGGCTTTCTCCAAACTCTAAGAACTGGCAAGCCTTTATAAAAACAGTCTCCTATTTCACTGAGGTGCATAAAAAAGAGAAATCTTTAATTTTTCCATGTGAGGATGAACACTAAGCTTCTTGTTTGCCACTCCCTAAGAAAATGTGAAGGAAGGGGTTGCCCTGGCAGGCCAGAGAATAAGAGGAAGACAAGCATTCACTGCTGTGCTCAAAGGTGGATTAGTCTTCCTTACTTTACTCTTGAACAACTCAAAACACATTGGTTATTGGGCGGCAAAGAAATGTGTCCATAAACAGGACTGGGATGCTCAGGAAATAACAGTAAGAATGGAACAGGACCGAATAAAGAAAATAGGAGCAACTCTTAAAAGATCATGGCTCACTACAAAGCATTGCGGGGTTTCGTCTTGGTTCCTTCCGCCTGTTGCTGTTGATTTTTGTGGGGCAGGTTCACTCTTTCTTTGTGTCTGAGAACGGCAGGATCTGCCATTTCTCTCTTTCCCCATGGTAATGCTTTCTCTGAATGCCTTTCCTGAGCCACAGTGCAAAGCTGTTTGCAGGGTGGATTTGATTTAAATCAACTTATTTAAATCATGCCAGTAAGTTTAGATTTAAATCATCATTTTCTATTAACTTGAATGCGTGCCTGCCTTACCCATAGGTAGAGAAAATTCATTAAAATATTCCCAAACTTTTATGGCTTGCTGCCATTATAGGTTCTTTCCTCCAGGGAAAGAATAATATGGTAAACCTCTGGCTATACACAGAAAGATCCAGAAGCAAGTGGAGTATTCAACTCTAAGGGTTTCGCTTTCATGTTACCACTTGCCCCTCTGACCTCACACTTAGCTTCTTGTGTAGATCTATTCCACTCCCAACAATCTTCTTCTATTCATTGAATTTTTTGAAAGTTAGCAGTTAAGAGGTAAGGGGTTGATTCTCTGTATACAGATTTGCAAAGGAGCAATGGGATTAAGGTCTTTTTCTCCACTCTGCATGCTTATTTTATAACATTTTTGCTGTAAAGAAGAGGCATGTGATCTCTGCAGACAAGTATATTCTAGATAGAAAAATTGCCCGATAATTGAAACCTCTGGAAGAGCATGACATTGTGAATGGATTAATGGAACTCATTTACCAATAATTTAAATACTGAATTAATATAGAAACATAGAAACAGAGCGAGTCAGAAGGGGCATCCCGGGCCATCTAGTCTGACCCCTGGCTCCAGCTGGCTCCACTCATGACATGCCCACCATATGCATGTCTAGCCTATCTTTGAACACCCTCACTAATGGGGCCTCAACCTCAATATACAGCCCCATGCTACATAATTGCAAACTAATCATTTCATGATGAATAACTTTTGAATTGTAATGTATCTTAAATAGAAATCTATCTTTAGATATTTTTTTCTCAAAAAGCATTTTATTTAAAAAATGCTATTTAAATAAAATTCTATTTAATTTAAAATCTGATTTAAATAAACACTGGATTTTTAAAAGTTTAAAGTAATTGTTTTTCCCACCCTAGCTGTTTGTATACTGGGTGCACGAATACACTCCAATATACAATAAATATTGTAAATTATTCTGCTTTCTGGGAGGAGGGCAGGTTAGGATAGGAAGAGAAACTCTGCTTTTTCGAAGGTTGAAAGCCAGTTTATAGAGTTCATGGTTGCAGCAGAAATCTTAATTTATAAAACATTCTGTTTAAAGTTGATCTTCACAGTTATGGAAAACTATGCTTTGTTTTTTATTCCGAGCACATTTGAGATATGACTGCCCTTGGCCCCAGGGTATACCTTACACATGTTGTGACTTGTATCCAATAAGAACAATGCTGGGTGTAGATTTTGTTATCATCCCTCTGCCTGAAGAACAGTCAACAATGTGGTGGAGTTCAGCACTTGCCGCTCTCCACATCTTCCGGACAGAGCTGACCTGGGATCACTGGAGTTCATTTGCAGCACTGCTCAAGACCAGGCGTTCTCCTAGCTTTGGAAATTCTCAGTTGCCCATTTACAAGTATCTGGGACCCTTCATTGATCTGTTCCTGCCCCAAAAAGCTCATGGCTCTTTCTTGAAAAAGCTGATGCATTTAGTTGTCGGTTGCTTTTTTAGTTCATAGTTTTGGTTAAAACAATTAGGTTGCCCAAAGTGGCTCACAGGAATGAACATCGAATATTTAGTGGCAGTGGCATCTGCTACACGTCAAAGAAGACAAGACACAGGGCCAAATAAAAATAAGGCATCAGCTTTATAAACTAAAAAAGGCAAGACACACAAGAGGAAAGTTCTGATAAAGGGGAAAGGGTGACTTGTTTATTATATCCCACCCTTCTCCCACTGTGAAACTCAGGGCGGCTGCATGTGGTTCCCAGGTGGTCTCCCCTCCAAGCTCAGGCCAGTCCCAGACCTACTGAGTGTCAACGTAGTGCGTGCCTTATGTGCTTTCAGACCACACTCTGGACTTGGCACTGTCAGGAGAGAAGACGGGAGCCCTTAACAAGCACTTGCGTTAAGTCAGGGTCAGTTAATCTCCTTTCCTCTTACTAAGGTAGGAATTACGTAATTACCCAGCCATCTCTTGGTCCTCTGAAAGTAACTAGGAGCTCCAACAAGCCCTTGGACTGTTCAGAACTCTTTTCCTGGTAGGGAGGTAGGAAGTAAGCATCCTGCAACATCTTCTTAATAGCTAGGACCAAGCTGGTCTTCTTGGGAGAAGATGGAATCTACCCATTGTCTTGTGCACCTCTGGTCCACGACAAAGGCCACAATGCTTTCTTCCTAGTTATATAAAATCTATTCAGGCATCATGTACCTGAATACAGCAAACACACAATGAGAAGAAGCACTCCAGCTGTGCCCCACTCCTTCATCACAACCCTTTCCCGCTCCTCGTGGGTAGGAGACTGTTGGAAGAGGAGAGCTTCTTTATTTATAGAGGGTCTTCAGATGAGCCAGAAAGCTAACTGTTCACTTCACTACCCAGAAGACCAAGAGAAATTATCTACAAGCATCCACCCACAGATTGTGAATCTGGATTTAGATGGGGACAGGGGGTTGCAGGGTAAGAGAGACGCTTTTGAAAGAGAGAGAGATCAGAAAAAAATCTTCCCCCAACATCACTGCTAACGGGAGTGGGAAATAACTTGTCCTTCAGCCACAACACTGCTGTCAGGCCTGGGACCATCCAAACATCCAGCTTACTACTATGCTAGGAATGGGATCTGCTTACCCAGTAGTTCACTGGGAGCTGTAGGGATAGGAAAAGCATTGCTACATCTTGGAAGCTCATTAGGTGTAGAATCAGTCCATGTCCTCTGAGGTCTTGAGGAATCAGTGGGCCTTCAAGGGGTTGTGGCACTGCCACCTCCCACCTGCTGGGGTGGCAGAAGGTAGCAGGGGGTAGCATGATAAGGATGAACCACAGCAGTGGAAGAATATGGCAGAACTATATGTATGTTGACTGTGCAAGGCAGAAAGCAAAAACACACTTAGAAATGTGGTTATGCATCAGCCATGGGATGGATCTCTGTGTGTACTTATGTGATATATATGGCGGGAGGTAGAAAGAGAAGCCAGGTTCACATGATTGTGGAAGGAAATAATGCAATGGTAGCTTTTTTCCCTGTCTCACATATGCTGGTTGCACACCACTTCATTTCCAAGTATAGGGCTGATGTGCCGTCCAAACCTAGTAAGGAAGGCAGGTGACTGGCTACCAAACAATCCTGAAACCTATGGCTAGTTCCAGGGTTCTGGATCAGTTTGGAAGCCACCTCCACGTCCTACACTCATGGAGTTCAGAAAATGCAGCAACCTATAATTGTGGAAATAAGAGGTCTTGCAATTGGTATCCGTGCAGTAGGGAAAAGAAGCCACAGTGGCATCTTTTCCTTCCATGATCATACAAAGGAAATCAATGTCTTTGAAAGGAAGGGCAGAGCAAGAAGAAATCCCTCTTCTGAATAGGTCCCTTTCCTTCCCACAATTTTTCCTTCAGGAGTCCACGTGTATTTATCACAACTATGACAAACAGAGCACTGCTGCGACAGATGACCATGTTGATCTAAAGGGGCCACCAGTAAGCATCTATGCTGCCTACACATTTCTCGCTGTCCCATCAGGCCAGATGCAAACTCTTATGCACATGCAGAAGCCCCATGGCTTCTTGTTTCCATACACTCAACACTCTCCCTTTATGCTCAAACAGCATCCACTGCTGACAAGGAAAGACACTAGCGTGTGCGTGCGTACGAAAGAGATAAAGCGGGCTGACACCTGCAGCTGCCTGTCAAAGACTGGCCAATTCAGCTATCAGGAGACAGCTGCTGCTGCCTGGGAGACGCAGCCGCTTCTCTTCTCTTTGCCAACTGGCTCTTTAAAAAGAACACAATCCCACTTGTTGCCAGGATCTGAAGTGCAACACAGCTCAGGGAAGGCATAAACACAAGCACCTGGACTGCAGCTGGCTCTTGCACTGAGGTTAAGAGCTGTTCCCATCCCTTTGTGATCATCAGACTCTTCTGAATTTGCCACCCAAAAGGAATCTCTGCATTTCGGGATTCCCATGGGGTATAGCAATTACAAAGAGGCACAGTAGATGGCACAGGTCAGTCCTCACCTCCCTCCTGCTGAATTTACACATGTCCAGAAAATAG